GGTCTGTTCCTAGAAGTAGATCCTTTTCCATGGAAAAATAATACTTTGGTCTTGTCAGTGTTAACAAAAAGTTGATTCACATTAAACCAACTTTCTAGTTGATCAATAACCTTTTTGATTTTTATATTTAAAGAACTAAGAGAGTTATCAGTGAACAATATATTAGTGTCATCTGCAAATAGTACAACCTTAGCCTGAGGTATAGCATGTGGCAAATCATTAATGAATAATAAAAACAACAGAGGACCCAAAACAGATCCCTGCGGAACACCATGTTTAATTTCCTTAAGTGACGAGGTAAAGGACTTAGAATAACAGGATACATGGTCCTGGTGATAAATTTCTACATATTGGAATCTATTCGTTAGATACGAGGTCATCCACTCATGGATTTTTCCTCTAAGCCCATACAAGTCCAATTTAGTAAGTAACCGGTCATGGTTTATTACATCGAAGGCTTTTGTAAGATCTAAAAATACGCCCATGGCAAATCGTTTTGAATCTAATGTTGTCAAAATGTCCTCAAGAAAAGACTGGATAGCAGTATAGGTAGATTTATTAGCTCGGAAACCATTTTGGGCACTAGAAATCAAATTATATTTATTTAAAAAACTTATAACTCTATTGTGTATTAAAGTTTCAAAGATTTTGGAAAATGCAGGAAGAATTGAAATTGGTCTATAATTAGTAATATCTTGAATTCGGCCCTTCTTTAGAATAGGCCGTACTTTGGCAATCTTCATCAAATTTGGAAAGGTACCTGTGTTTAATGAGAGATTAAATATGAAAGTTAACGGTTTATTTATAAACTGTATGCAGTGTTTAATTAATGATGCCGGAATCTCATCAAAGCCAGACGAATACTTATTTTTTAGTTTACCAGTAACATTTAGTACCTCCTCTTCGGTAATAGGAGCCACAAACATCGTATTAGCAGGGACACGCACCTGTCTAATATCCTTTGTATGGGTACACATCCTATCAACAATCTCTACGAAATGCTCATTGAAATGATAAGAAAGAAGCTGGGGGGTTGTAACTAACACTGAACCAATTTCTAACGCAATAGTCGGATTTGAAATGCAGCCTTTTCCTGTTTCTTTCTTTATTATATTCCATAAGGCCTTTGTACTATTACTAGAATTTGCAATAATACGGTCATTTGCACATTTTCGAGCAGCGAATAAGATCTTTTTATAGGTACTCTGGTATTTTTTTTATATAATTTAATGCAGAAACAGATAAAATCAGCTTTCTTTTTAACAAACGCAGCAACTGAAGCTTCTGTCTCGAAACTTTTATACCTTTAGTAATCCAACATAATTTATTACCTTTCTTTCTTGAGACTTCTTTTAAAGGGAAAAACCGATTGAAATACATAGTGAACTTGGATAAAAAGTAAGAATATGCCCTGTTAACATCAGATTGGGAGTAAACCTCATTCCATGATTCAGATGCTAGATGGCAGTTAAACATGTCTATACTATTCCGAGAAAAGACACTTGGACTCAAGGATGTTAAGTTCATTGAGGCTTTTCCTCTCCTTAGGCCCTGCATTGGGGGTCACTTATGACCATGATGGTTGCCTAAGGAGGTAATGCTGTTGATATTTCAGTGCTGACTGCCTACCCAACACCTTTCAGTACTCCATTGTTGAGGTCTTGTTCATCCTTTGTTACCTTATTCTTGGGATAACTTTACTGAAGGATAGCCACCTTTACACTGGTTGGAATCTCCTTCTAGATCACTCCATGAGAGCCCATGGGCCCCTTTTGGAAGGTAGGCCTGTATAGGGATACTTTTTTCAGACCTTTCACTCGAGATATCTCGTTGCTTGCTCATAGCCTGGTGCCCTAGTTGCTCTATTTCCTCACTTCCTCCTTTGCTTTCCTTAGCTTTTGTTAACTTATACATAGATCACCCAAACAATGTGGCCTTTGCTAGGTAATGCCTACTCACCTGAGAATGTGTTGCAGACCATTTTTTACAGGTATGCTAGAACTGGTAACTCTCAGCAGTGGTGTGCCACAGCTCCTGGCTCCTCACAGAGAGGTCCTTGTTTTTTTCCACAGATGTCTCTCGTCTGGTTTATCCCTGACTATTGCTGAAGCCTAAATGATCTATTTTTCAGTAGTGCCTGCATCCCATAATGGTTTGTAGGTGCCTTCCTATAAGGGAGTCTCTGTTTGTTTATAATTTTTGGTGACTTGTTTTTTACTGTTTGTTTCCAGTTAGGTCCAATGAGTAGTGGGAATCTAAGAAATCACCACCTCATGTGAGTGGAAGGCATAATTAAAACGTTGTGCTGCCTGGTGCCCCAAGGGAATCATTCATGTCGTACTCTGATTTCCACCCCACTACCATGCAACACGCAGTATGTTGCCTTATACCTTGGTGTGCTTGGGACTATTGTCCTGTTTGCCACCCTTTCAGGCATCACCTTCCCCTTGTGATATGGATGCCAGGGTTGGATTTGGGGGGCGGGTGGGTGTACAAGGATATGTTATAGAGTATCCACAAAATGTTCGTTTGGTCCTGCTATTGAATGTGGCATATTACAAAGCAAAGTTGAAAAGCTGTGGTTCTGAAGTATGTTTAATTAAAGGAGTGCACTTTGAAAATGAAAAGATAGTACTGAAATGTGTTAGAGTATACTACAGTGAACTGGATTGCACTACTGAAAAGAAAAAAATTGGGAAGGAGCAGGTCTTTTGGATTATCAGTAAAATTGAATATTGTGAGTTCAGATTATGAAAGATTAACCTAAACTAATTCCAATTAGCAATAGTCCTCGAGAAGCTAATATTTCTTTTTTTGTGTAGTCAGTCAACTGGCTACAGAACTGTACCTATGTCATGGAAGCAAATTTTATACAGAGATCACTTGTAGTTATACTGTATATGATGCCTAGCAGTGAAGTGGTAACAACAACAACCGCATATTGCTACTATCAGCCTTTTGCTGTAGAAAATAATGAGTTACTTTTGTCTTTGTCTAGTAAATACCATATATACCTATGTAAGCCATATTACATGTGATTTTTCCAGATGCACACTGTAACAGTAATAATTTGTTTAGGTTGCATTTATTGAAAATAAAACGAAGATTGAAAGTTACTTAAAGGACAAAGCAGACAAGAAGAAGAGAGCCTTTGAAGAGGTGAGTATGAAATTTGTATATCACTTTAGAATATATTCCAGTGACTACATATTAGGATAGATTTTAAACTTTTTTTAAGCTGCTTCTTATTTTGATGTCAATATATCTGAATGCTTTTGGGATCTTGAAAGCCTTTAACAAAGGTGTCTGTGTGTGCGTGTTTTTTTTTTTTTTGCAAGTAATACATGTTGAGGAGATCTGTATTCTAATATATAACACCATATGGCCTGCTGAAAATTCACCAACATTTCGATGAAACATATTGCCTCCATCTTCAGGGCTGAAGAGCAAGAAAACAGCATGAAGCAGGTAGTGAGTCGAGCTGGTTTCTTTCTTGGATTTCTTCTTGACTCTGAAGTTGAAGACAGTATGTTCCTCCAAAATGTTGGTTGACTTTCAGCAGGGTGCATAGTGTCATATCCTAAAATACAGAACTTTTTATAACCAGTGTAAGAACTCAAATCCTACACATGTTGATAAGTTTTTTTTAAATGAATAAATTGTAATCACTCCATCCTGTCTTATTCAGTGGAGCACTATGCATTGGTATAGTGGAATGTTGCAGTTCTATTGATCTGTGTTTAAGGTTTATAGGGATCCTAGTTTCATTATTTTAAAACTGTATGCAATGCTTGCTCCCAGTTTTGTTCTTCTCCTTTGTTTAATAATCTCTAAATAATTATTTATGAGTATACTTTCTATGTGAAAATAAGATATAGTATAGAATAAAAGCCACTTCATTCTTTACAGTATGAAACATGAACTCCATTTGTTGATGGATGGATGGAGCTGCAATTTGTTTGGAAATGGTGTTATTTCTTTTTTCACTAAAGAGCAGACCATAAAATAAATTGTATAGGCCTGTACAGGCAGGCTATTTGGTAGCTCTGCTATGTGGAATCACTGCCTTGGTTGTCACCTTTTTGCTCATTCGTCTGTGGCAGTAGACTACAGCAACATCATAGAGTGATGATTACTGGTTCATATGCTCTATGTACCTCACATATCTCTCTGAATTATTTGTGTATAAAGCACAGAATCCATAATCCTCACATTCAAGTCACTCCAGATATGTATGTAAGATATGGTTTTCCTGTGCTCCAGTATCTGTTTATTATATGTGTTCATGGTTCCATTTAAATAAAACTGAGCCTTGTGTGAAAATAAAATATATCAGCTTATGATCAGGGTCACAATTATGATACTGACTGCAAGATACCAGATACTGAAACATGAGGCTGTAAATTGTGCACATTTATGTAATGCCAGTGTAAAATTATGTCGCAGTTCCTGCAAGACCCCCTTGTTGTTGGATACTGGTAGGTTTACACTTGTGCATACTCTTATATGGGTGTTAAGTCTTTTAGGACATGACAGAGAAAATTCAGAAGAAAGTGTCCTGATTTTGAGTTTTCTGTAGAAAAGTGATCTATGATGTTGTCAGTAAAGAAATACCACCCAGTGTGTATAGGCAGAAAACCAAAATGTCAACATCCAGTATTACTTACTTACTTACTTACTTGCTCATGGAGCTGAGCCCTTCTGGAGGAGCCACCAATTCTGCAACTACTCAAGAATTTCCCAGCATTTTATGGAACCTGAAGGTTCATTACCATGTTCACAAGAGCCCTCCACTGGTCCCTATCCTGAGCCAGATCAATCCAATAAATACCATCCCATCCTATCTCTCTTAGATTCATTTTAGTATTGTCCACCCACCTACGCCTTGGTCTTCCCAGTGGTCTCTTTCCTTCTGGCTTTCCCACCAATATCCTATATGCATTCCTCATCTCCCCCATTTGTGCTACATGCCCTGCCTATCTTATCCTCCTTGGCTTGATCATTCTAATTGTACTTTGAGAAGAGTACAAGCTCCTCATTATGCAGTTTTCTCCAGCCTCCTGTCACTTCATCTCTCTTCAGTCCAAATATTCTCCTAAACACCCTGTTCTCAAACACCATCAGTCTACGTATGTTCCTCCCTTAATGTCAGAGACCAAGTTTCACACCCATACAGAATCACAGGCAAAATTATAGTTTTGTAATTCTAATTTTTATATTTTTAGACAACAGACAAGAAGACAAAAGGTTCTGGACTGAATGGTTGCAAGCATTACCTGAGTTCAATCTCCTCTTAATTTCCTCCTCAATCAGGTTTCAATCTGTTATAGTTGTTCCGAAGTCCACATCCAGTATTAGCTCAAGAAAAGATGGACAGTATCAGAGCTCAGCTTGAACATTAGCTTCATGAGCCACTTAGGGGTGCCTTGCACAATAAATTGGAATATCAAAAGAGAACAACAAAATTGTAATTGTGACCTTACAGTCAGAATCATGCACTCCTCAATGACAAGCATGATCTGACGTTAACATTTTTTTCAGGTGAGGCTTAGTTTTGTTTGAATGGACACATGAGAAAGCAGAGCACAGAATGTCCAAGTCTCATATGCAAAATTTCATTTCTTTGATGAAAAATTGTGTTCATTACCCCCTGAGTGGGAGGGAAATAGTTCTGAGAGATATGAGTAAGTAAGACATACTGCAAGTATGTGATTGTAGCTTCATTAGTGCCACAGCTGAACAACAAGGAAAGGCAGAAAGTGACAGTGATTACATTATTACAGAAAGACTGTGCTCTGTCACAGCTGCTAAACAACCTGTCTGTAGACATGTGAACTTTACGATGAATACAGATGTCATCATGCCCTGACATTTCCACCAGTGTGGGCCATCTTACTCCATGAGTATGCTGATTGCCAAATATACCAACAAATTGTCATGTTAATGATTGTCAAGAGGAATATTATAAAGTCTCTTATTTTTGTACTGACTTAATGTTTGATCAGAAATCACAGTAAATAGCCAGACATTATGAAAATTTAAGTGATAAAATATGAGGGCTCTTCAGAAAGTAATCTCCAATGAGCTGTTAAAAACATTCAGTGAGAAAAAAACTAATTTCATTATATATAAAAAACATACATACTCAAGCTAATTCTCAACATAATCACCACCAGAATTGATGTGTGTGTCTTCTTCTTCTTCTTCTTCTTCTTCTTCTTCTACTATAGCGCAACAACCCGATGTCGGGCCTTGGCCTCCCTTATCAAGCCCCTCCATCCTCTCTATCCTGCGCTGCTCTCTTCCAGTTCCTTACGCCCATTAACTTCTTTGCATCTTCTTCCACCGCATCAATCCATCTAGTTCTTGGTTTCCCAGCACGTCTCCTACCACCTATTGTACTATAATATTTTCTTTGAGATACACTCCTTATCCATTCTCTGTATATGCCCAGCCCATTGCAGTCTTTTAAGCTTTATCGTCACTGAGATCTCAGGCTCCTTATATAATTTGTATAACTCTTTATTATATCTTATTCTCCATATCCCATTCTCTTTTACTGGTCCATAAATTCGTCTTAGGATTTTCCTCTTGAAAGAATTGATGACTGATTCCTCTTTCTTGTTTAGCGTTCAAACCTCACATCCATAATAAAGCACCGGTCTTATCATTGTTTTATATATTTTCTTTAATTGCTCGGTGTATTTCCTTTGATCTAAAAACTGATAGCAACGAGAAATATGCATTATTCGCTAGCTTTATTCTTCTTGTTATTTCATGATTTTCCTCTCCATCTTTGTGGAATTTCAATCCTAAATATATGAAGTCTTCAACTATTTCTATCCCGTCCCCCTCCATGTTAATTTCTCCAGTTTGCCATGGATTCCTTCTGGAGTGTATCAGCATTTTGGTTTTATTTACATTCACCTCTAAGCCAGTTGTTTTTGCTATGGTTTTTATTTCTTCATATGTCTCCATCATTGCTCTTGGGGATCTCGATACTATAATAACATCCGCATACGCCATCATTTGCATTTGTTTATATGCTATTGTGTTCCTTGTGTCTGCATTACATTTCCTCACTGTATATTCCAGTGCCAAAGAAAAGAGTGATGGTGCCAAACTGTCTCCCTGTTTTAATTCTTGATTTGTCTTAAAGCAGTCTGTTAACTGGTTCTGGATTTTAATTTGATTGATTGTTTCTGTCTTGGTTAAGTTAATTATTCTACTTAGTTTTGTTGGAATAACAAAAGTGGACATAATCATCCTTAATTTCTTCCTTATTTTTGTATCACATGCTTGTTTAAAATCTATGAAGCATAGGTAAATATCTGTATTAGATTCCCAGCATTTCTCCGTTATTTGTCTCAGGGTGAACAAATTGTCTATTGTTGACCTAGTGGGTCGAAATCCTGATTGATATTCCCCTATTACTTTTTCTATATATGGATCCAGTCTCTTTTTTTTTAGTATCCTTGTTAAAATTTTATATGCTGTCGGTACTAATTATACTCGTATACCTCTATAGTTACTACATGTTAATTTATCCCCTTGTTTAAATATGGGACATATAATGCTCTTTCCCCAATCTTCTGGTATCTTTTCTTCTTCCCACACTTTATTTATAATTCTGTGGGGTGATATTATTCCTTCTTGTCCTCCTGCCTTCAATAATTCTGCTGGCATGTTATCTCCTCCTGGTGCTTTATTTTCTTTTTGTTCCTTTAATGCTTCTTCCACTTCTTCCTCTGTTGGAGGTTCTATTATCTCTTCCTCTTCCCCTTCTCCATCATCTGTATTTTCTTCTTCATTGTCCTCGTTATCTTCCATATTCTGATTTTGATTTAATAATTGTTCAAAATATTCTTTCCATGTATTCATGATCTCTTATTAGAAGCCCTTTTTTGTCTTGGATAAATTCTGTTTTTGGTTTGAAACATTCTTTCATATATTTGATTCGACCAAAGGCATTTTTTAATTTGTTATTTTTGAAGTCTTCTTCCAGTTGCAGTACTTGCTTATTTAGAAAGGCCCGTTTCTTTTTCCTGCAAATCTTGTCTGCTTTTCATCTTGCTTCTTTGTATGCCTCATTTCTTGCTCTTGTTGGTCTTTCCATATATTCCATATATTTCTTATTCTTGAGGTTCATACTCTCCCTACATTCCTCGTCGAACCATTCTCTATTATCCTGTTTCTCTTGATATCCCAGAGTCTTCTCAGCTTCTGTAATTATTGCAGTTTTAAAATCTACCCATATCCCTTCTACCGTTACTTCTTTATTTGCTCTATTGTCATTAATTTCTTTAATTTTATTTTGAAATGCTTCTCTCTTATCACTCTCCATAATCTTGTCGATATTAAATTTCTTACATTTCTCATGCTGCTTTGAGCTTTGACAACTTATTTTACATCTATATTTAACTTGTACTAAGTAATGATCACTATCAGAGTTGGCCCCTCTTAATGTTCTTACATCCAGGATATTCATCGCAAATCGCTTCTCTATGAGGACATGATCTATTTGATTGAGGGTTACCCCATCCGGTGCTGCCCATGTCCTTTTGTGTATATTTTTGTGCAGGAAGTATGTAAAGCTGATGATCAAGTTCTTACTTTCTGCAAAATCTATTAATTTTATTCCATTATGGTTGGTTGTATCATGTAAACTTTCTGTCCAAATTACTCCTCTGTATTCCTTCTCTTTACCTATTTTGGTGTTAGGATCTCCTGAAATTACCTTTATGTCATTACTTGGTATTGAATCATATGTCTCTTCCATTTGTTGATAGAAATAGTCTTTGACCTCCTCCTCTTTTTCTTCTGTAGGTACATGCACGTTCATCAACATCATATTGAAAAATTTCGTTCTAATTCTCAAAGTGCAACTTCTTTCACTTATTGGTTTAAAGTCTATTATTGCTCTTTTAAATTCTCATTCTATTACAAAGGCTACACCAAATTCCTTATTGCCTTCTGCTTTACCACTATAACATATAGTATTTTTCTTTAAGTCCATGATCCCTTTACCCAGCCATCTAATTTCCTATATGGCTGTGATTTTCATATTGTACTTATCTATCTGTTCTAGTACCGATTTCATGGCACCCGGTTTATTGAGGGTTTTCACATTCCATGTACCTAGAGAGTAGTCCATGTTCTTTGCCAAAAGTCATCTTCCATTCTGTTGAGATTTCCGGGGCTTGATTCCAGTTTTCGAGACATTTATATTTTTTTACGGTCAGAGGTTGTCAGCCTCTCGCCCAACTCCCAACCTGAAGGGCCAGGGTATCTCTTTTAGTCTGGATCATCACCTTCGACCTGTCCAGCATGGGTGGCCCTACCAGTAGCTATGCTACCATCAGCATAGCTCTCAGGGTCATTTGACCATGCAAGCCCCTCCACTACGTCAAAAGTAGAGACACCATCGGGGGGGATGCATGTGTCATATCAGGGAATATTTTTTTGTTTTCCTGTGTCAAAAATGTGCTGCCTGTGAGCTCACCCACATTTTGACACCTTACATCAACTCGTTAATGTTGAAGTGCCGTAAGGAGGGTGGTCAAACAGCTGTCAGTTGAAATGCTCCAGCAGTGCTCGAATGCAGGCAGCTATATGTGGGCATGCATTGTCATGGAGGAGCACTACACTGGATGTCAGCATTCCACGCCTTTAATTCGGAATGGCCCTATGGAGTTTTTTTTTGGGTGTTTCCCAATACACTTCTGATTTTACTCAGGTTTCCTGTTGCAAGAATTCCACCGTTGGCACTCCTTTTCTCTCCCAGAGAACATATGCATAGCCTAACTGTGATAATTTCATAGGGAACAGTGTGTTAAATTATGGATAGTCACACAGAAGTTCTGAAATTGTAAAGCACTCTGATTCACAAATTTTTTTGTTACCACTTTGAACAAGATCATCACTCACAACAGATGACCAACCACTTTGCTCTTCATCTTGAACATTGTTCGCCCACCCTTATTTGAACATTCAACACCATTGTCTTACAGTTCCTTCACTCATTACACTTTGGCCATAAACCGTGCATATTCATGATGGATTTCTGCAGCACTCATGTTTTTAGCTTGAAGTAAGCAGATAACTGCAAATTTTGCAGCTGGTGGGGTTATCAATCGCAGGACCCCACATAATTCATTCTGTAGATACAAGAACAAACACTAGGTGACCAGTTATGTGATGGTTTACAACGTGTCATGTGAAGCTACCGTGCATGTGAGAGCTCTCCCTCATTCCTATATTAGTTGCCTAAAATAAACGGAGGTTACTTTACCAATAGCCCTCATGTTATGCTACTCCTAAATAACCAGCTGGATGGAACATAATACTTGGTGAGAATCTGTTAACTCTCACTGAGTATGAAAGTCCTTCACTTTTATGGAAGCTGAAGCTTTATTACAGTGTTCACAAGAACCCATCTCTGGACCCAGTCCTGAGCAAGATGAGTTCAGTCCACATTGCTGTACTGCTGGTTGCTCTCAATAATATTGCCATTGTAGTTTAAAATCAGTTCTGACTGACTGATAATGTGAAAACTGTGCCACAAACATGCCTGGTAATACTGTGCTCAGTGATCATCAACTTATAACATCCAAAGTGCACCAATTGGCACAGTGATGAGTAAGGTTGAAGTGGCCAGAGTACACTGATTTGTGCAGTTGGGCATTTAAAATTCCGCTAGTAGAAGTGAACACCCAATCCTATATGTTTTATTTTAAATAGAGTAGAAATCAATTTACATACCATCTTGTAGTTATCTGTTTTATGTGTATACAGGGTTAACCCCCGATGTCATGTAACTGCATCTCACCTTTGTATGGTACCTCCTAAAGCACCTGAAAATGCATAGTCCCGCACCGCATGCCTTGCACTTCAGTTGCCTTTCAATTTCAATGTATCATTGCCATTTTAGATGATATGAAACTACAATATTCAAATTCATCATGAACTCGCAGAAAACTGGTTGCGCTCTGTCTCTCAGCTAGGATGCATGTGTTTATGACTACAGAAAGTGCAATATCTATCTCAAATGCAGTGGAAGGGCTTGGCACTGATGAAGGGAACAAAGACCCTGTAACCTTCCTTGAACTGCAGTGTTTTCACTTTTCTGTCCTTTAGTCAAAAGACTTGAATATCTGAACAGTGCGACAAAGATGTGAAACATGTCAGCAGAAAACCAAATAATTTTACTAGTTCCAGCTAGTTTATGGCACCAGAGAATGCGAGAAAATTTCAAGTGCTAGAAGCAGGACTGATTTTATAATGCAGAACTACTCTATGAAGAAGCAGGGAACAATTTTTACAGTATGCATCAAAATTACTAGAAGACATTAAAAATAGGGTATAAGTTCTTTGTCTAAATATTTTCAAATTTTATGTTATACTATGTGGCACTATATTCTTTGCTGATAAGAACAAAGTTAATTCCATGGCTGCGCCATAGCTGAAGAGGTTAGTCACTGGCTTCCCATCGTGGCGGCCTGGGTTCGATCCCGGGTCTGGTCAAGTGGGACTTGTGGTGGACAAAGTGGCACTGGGCAGGTTTTCTCTGAGTACTTTAGTTTCCTCTGCCAATCTTCATTCCACCAAATTCTCCATCATCATAATCATCTGGGGCAGGCTACAATAGGCCAATCAGTGGCCGAGTGGACCCAGTTGGACTCCACCCCCACTAAGCGAATTTAAAAAAAAAAAGTTAATTCCATTCATTTATCATAAATACTGTATTTGAAACAGCATTTTTAAATAAAATGTAAGCATCCTAAGAAGAACTGACATTTAAATGGAGGGGAGCAGTGGGCATTTAAATAAACTCCAGTCAGCTTAAGCTAACACCATGTTAAAAGTCCGGCATTTAAAGGTTAAATGATAGCGGAATGGGCTCTACACCCCACTTGTTTCATATTATCCTTTTTCTTTGTAGGCTAAAGCTAAAGGTGATCTTCTGGAATGTGACTGTTGCTTTGATAATGAAGTGATGCTTGAAGATGTGGCTGCTTGTAATGAAGGTCACGTCTTCTGTAAAGAGTGTGTTAGAAAGTAAGTGGCTGAAATGTGATTAATTGCAAATTAATCATTTTTGGTTATGTGAAGCTTATTTCTGTTTGGTTTATCTTTGTTGTATGCATTAAGTGGAAGGAAAATCAAATTAAGGAAGTTTTCATATTTATGAAATAGCTTCCATTCAAGTGACCCTCACTTAACATGCCGTTGGCCCCCGATGGATTGGTTATAATGCAGTTTCCTGCACGTCATTTAAATGCAACAACCGGTAAAGCAGCCTGCCCATAATTCATTGCTATTTTGAACAAAATTGAGAAGCTGATACATCAGTTGGTATTTGTTGTGAGTGGGCACAAAAACTTGGCCAGTAGTGCGTAAGTAACACAGAGCACTTTTTATTTTGTCATGTTTGTTATCTTCTCTCAAATCTGTGGAGTGATTCCTGCTTTAAATGTTAATTTTATTCTTAAAAGCCTATATTAAATTTGCAACATCAGACTTTCCAAGTAAATGTGATGATAATGGCAGATGTCATAAAATAAATGTATTTGTGCATCCAAAACACAGAGATTTGTTAGGCCGTGTCTGTGTTTATATTTTGAAAGTTAAAATCATTTGGATACCATGAGGTATCTTAGGAGCTAGGGCTCATACCCTGTCTCCTTAAAATGCACATTAAAGTACCTCAGAGAATTCCGAGTGTGCATAACACAGTTTTACTGGGAATGCATTTACTGCATTAAGCAGGAGGTTGGCATGCTTTCCTCACTTTCCCCAGGCAAATACCAGGATTATACCGTATTGTGCCGAAACTGCTACCATTCCAATTCATACTATCATCTGATACTGTGTCTCAGTAATGGCAGTGTCATTAAGTAACAAACTAAAGAAGAATTAACATATTCCAGTTTCAGGTTATTTGTGATATAGCATTACTATCTGTGACCCCAGCTGCAGTATCTTGTTAAATTTCCTTCATGTGTTATGCCCTAAGTGAGTACCTGGTGGTTTCAAGGCAAGATATTGAATAATCCCACATTACAGACCATGTTGTTGTGTCTTCACTTGATATATAGTACCCATTCATACACAGCATTCATGAATGTACAGTTTTTACATACATTTCTGTCTTAGGAGTGTTGTGAACATGTAGCCTTGATGTTAATCTTAAGAACTGAACATTGCAGGCTGAATGGTATATGTGAATGATTACAGTATCTGTCTGTTGAATCAAACTTTGAACACTCATGCAAGGGTTCTGAGTTTTATCCAAGATCATATCTGTGCAGATTTTTCTTCTTACAACTTGTCGCTTCCCCATTGGTTGAAAGCCCTTATGTGTATGTATGAGTATGAGGGGTGGGCCATAAAAGCCGGCCCTTGCACTGCGACCTTCAGTGACCTATTGTGCTTCCCCTTTGGGTTAACCTTTATTAATCCTACACTTCGAATGGGACCCTCAATGTCTCACAGCCCTATGGGCCTTCATGGCCTGTTACAGGAATAGCTTTACTTTTTTTATAAGACGCGTAATATTTGTGATTATTGTGAGAAATTTAGAAGATGTGGTTTTGTTGTTATTTTTAGAGGAGCTGAAGTACAAATAGGTAATGGAAAAACTGAATTTCCATGCCTGAATGATTGTGCGGCTGAATTTAGCTTAAAGACACTGCAGGTATGTAATTGCTTATCCTCTTGTTTAGTCTCACCTTACACCTTTAGAGTTCAGACAGTACCGTATGATGTGATACCACTATTGAAAATATGAAGTATGGTTATCTGTGAGTATAATGGCAAGCAGTCACCTCAAAATGGAAGTGAAAGCAACTTTTAAATTGACAGTTTCATACATTATTATAAACTTCTTGATACAGGATATGAGGATCTTACATCTCACCAGCTGGATCAAGTGGGTAACATATCTGACTTGTATTTAGAATGCATTCAGTTTGAATAAGATGCTGTCTGTTGTGGCTGAGGTGTTTCATGATTATCTTCACTCATTCTAGGAAAATACTGAGATTGTTCCTTGAAGTAGGCCACCACCCTACCCTACCCTACCCTACCCTAACCTAGTCCTTTCCAATTCACCACATACAAGGGAGAGTCAGTAAACAGTTCACAAATGGAAGTGAAACAGCTGTAATTGAGGCAATACGTTTTTTATGTGTATCACTAGGCAACGGAACAGTCCAGGTAGCAGACACATGCATGTTCAGAGGCTGGTTTCAGCAGCCGAAATGGTGGCCATTTTTAGAGGAGTGGTGGAGTCCAACTGGGTTCACTCGGCACGGTGGCCACTCATTGGTCTATTGTAGCCTGCCCCGTGTGATTATGATGATGAAGAATTTGGTGGATTGAAGATTGGTAAGGGAAACCAACGTACTTGGAGAAAATCCGCCTCACTTTGTCCACCACAAATCCCACTTGACCAGACCCAGGATTGAACCTGGGCTGCCACAGTGGGAAGCCAGTGACTGACCACTTGAGCTATGGCACAGCCTAAATAGCGACCATGCTTGAGGAGTGCTACTGAAGAACTTAGATCTGTTATGCATGTTTTGTGGGTGAAAGGTTTCCTGTTTATGGTGGGAAGTGTTGTTGCATAGAACTGTTAATAACTGGGTCAAAGAAATTCTTGCAAGGGCATTGGAAAATTGCAGATGATGACTGACCAGCGCGCCCTGTTGAGATTGTGGCAGAATCAACCGTGCAGGAGGTGGAAGAGTTGATTCAGGTCAGCAGGAGGATAATAGACAGTGTAGCAACTTCACTAGAGCATTCCAAGGGTTTATCTTACAGCATAATACATGATCATATGAAGTTTCAGAAAGGCATCACCACCATCCTGAGTCTAAGCATACTTCATCCCAGTTCACCTTCAGCCAAAAAGTTTAAGGTTACACCATCAGCTGGGAAGGTTATGCTTACCGTGTTTTGGGAATCTCAGGGATTTCTGATAGCTCACTTTCAGAAGTCAGGTGAAAATGTGATTTCTGCATCATACTGTGAAGTCCTGTTGAAGTTTCTGGATGCAGTATGCAGAAAACATCCAGGCCACCTGGCAAGAGGGGTACTGCTTCATCATGACAATGTCAGGCACCATACAGCCCAAGCAGCCCAGGAGAGAATTCAAGATTTGGCCCCTAGTGACTTCCATCTATTTTGTCCTCTAAAAAACCACCTTGGTGGCAGACATTTTGCTGCTGCTGATGATGATGATGAGGTTGAAATGGAGGTGCGGAAGTGGCTGAAACAACAGTCAAAAGACTCTGTTGCAGGTTTCAGCATACTGGTAAAGTGATGGGGCAAGTGAATCAATGTTGGTGGAGTATACAAGGTGGTACTGGAAAGTTCCCAGATTGTTGTAATTGCCTCGGTAAAACAAGATGAGAAGGGATGCCAAGGTCACACTTCTGCAAGCTTATTGCATCAGTCTGCCATGTGACACCATGTTGTGAACACACATTGTTTTTACATGAGTGGTTTTTCAACTTTGTGTTTTATTTTGTCTGTGAAGGATGGCAAAATCAAGCAACGTGTCTGCATCCAGTTTTCAATGAGAGTTGGTAAATCCACTACCAAAACCCTTGAAACACTTTATGAGGTTTTTGGAGAACATTCTTTAAGCCGGGCAGCGGTTTTTGAATGACATTCACGTTTCAAGGCCAGTCATGTGTCAGTTGAAGATGATGAAAGTTTAGGGCAGCCAGGCACCAGCAAAATGACATAAAATGTTGAAAAAATTCAAAACTCATCAATGAAGACTGTTGCTGAACAATCTGTGAGCTCGCAGACACTGTTGGGATCAGTTATGGAGTTTGCCAGGAAATCTTAACAGAAAGTTGGAACATTCGCTTCATTTCTCCTTCATCATGACAATGTGCCTGCCCACATGCCCTTGAAAACCGCAAAGTTTATGATTAATAACAACATGGTTATTGTTCCCCGTCCTCCCTAATTGCCAGACTTAGCCCCCTGTGATTTCACTTTGTTTCCCAAATTGAAAATGAAACTGAAGGGACAGTGTTTTGAAACAGTGTCTGACATGCAAAGAGAACCACAAGTGGGACTCAACAGCATCAAGGAAAATGACTTCCACAGTGCTTTTAAGGTGTGGAAAAAACCGATGGGATCACTGTACATGTTCTCAAGGAGACTGTTTTTACAAAGATGGCAGCCAAAATTGAGTTAGTCTGGGAACTTTCTGATAGAACCTCATATGTCAAGAAATGTTATTTCTAGGTTTGCATATCACATGGTTTTCCATTTTATATCCGTTTGTGATTCACTCACTGACTCTCCCTCGTACATTAGCAATCACAGGTCATTTGATGCTGTGCAGCTTTGTAGTTGATAAAGACTGTTAAATAACCTATGATAAATAATATAAAATATACTTCTTACACATTAATCACAATATCTTTGCAGGCTTGCAAGTTTTCATATTATTTTTTTTTTTGCGTTTGATATTTTTTCACTGGGATAATGGATTAAATGCAATAGATATACTTATTTGTATTGTTAAAATCTGACCAAGATAACTCAGTCAGTAAAATGACTGGGCTGCAGGCATGATGAAAGAGAATTATGATTCAGTTCTCAGCTTATACATTATTAAAATGTCGAAGTAAATGATCTCTAATGTGCCTGTACCAGCAGCTGACTGAATAACATTTTGTTTATGCGGACTCATTTTTGCACATACTGCCTGGGCATTCAGCAGTGCCTGAGTCTGTTGGGAACCATTTGCAGAGGATAAACCTTGCTCTTCAGTTAAGAATTAAGTTAGTAGTTTTGGCAGTTATAATGATTGTGGAACATGGTCTCTTTCCTCAGAGACAAGATCACATATTACAAGTTTCTGAGAACAGTGCTCATTAAAAAGAAAAACTTTATTAATTTCTTCTTGGATTATTTAACAGTACTCTCTGTCAGCAATTTAATATGCCCAGAATTGCACTATGATGAACTTTATGACTAATACATATCGCTTAAAATTGTTGAGGTAATCAAGGATGGGTGAGACAGAGAAAACCATATGGAATTTGTGGGTAAAGTGCTTGGAAGACCAAGCTGGAGATGTGAATATAATATTAACTATATTTGGAAAATAGGTTATGCGAGTGGAAGATGAATGGCACTCACTAAGCATCACTCCAGTAGCATGCTATGTTTTAGTTGTTTTTGAAACTTTGGATGCTACTACAAACACGTTAGAATGACTTAGTTCCTAACTGCTAGGTCCACTAGAAGAGGTATTTCCAAATATGTGAGTATAGTGTTTGCTGACAATGTACTTCATGTTCAGAGTGTCAGAATTTCTGGTATGTCTATCAGGCTGTGCTGAAACCATCTGTTTTCTCAATGATGCTTTGGCGAAAGCAATTGGAAGAAGTGAAAGCTGCAGGAATAGAGGGTCTGGAATCTTGCCCATTTTGTGATTTTGCATCTGTACCACCCATTGAAGATAAAGTGTTTCATTGCTTGAACCCACATTGCATGAGGGAATCATGCAGGTATGTTGCTCGACTGTTTAATGTTTCTCAGTTTAAGGTTTTCTCTAATTTAATGCTTCAGCTTCATGGATTCCAATTGTTAAATATCTTCTACTTATGATTTTCCTCAGTTCAGTATTAAGAGCTTCTGCCCCCAAAGAAATGTAGGGAGCATTTCACTGTATTTATGAATTTATCTGTTTAAAAAGTACATTATGCATATATTCTGTGTAGGCTTCATCAGTTTCCTTCCAAGGTATATTATACTTACTGGATATAATTATGAGAAAATAATTTCTTTACATAAATAAAAAAAACTGTTTCATCAAAAATAAGTACAGTGTCATGATCTGTGGTCTAGTGGTCAGAGTTCCTGGCTACAGATCCAGAGGTCCGGGTTCGATTTCCGAGGCACTACCATTTTTTTCTGAGAATTAATGTGTCTGGAACATGGTCCACTCAGCCTCGTGATGATAGTTGAGGGGCTATTTCTAGGAAATAGTGGCTCTGGTCTAGAAAACCGACATTAACGACCATGGGGATTCATTGTTCTGACCACAAGACACCCCCTATCCACAAAAGTTGGTACTAACTTCGCCGACAAGTGGCGGTCGCTCGGTCAGTATAGTTCGCTTGCGGACTAAAGTCGCGGTGAAGAAAATCGTCTTCTGGGATCTGGCGCCGTGTATTCTTGGTTTTAACCCCTGTTTTATCTCAACAAATCATGGAAACCTCTCATCTCTTCCTTCAAGAGAACTCCACGAACCCACCCCAGTTCTTCATGTCATTGACGTCAGTAGCTTGTCTCCAGTTCATGTCATTGACGTCAATAGCCTGTCCCCAGCCAACCGGTTCTTGTTTAACCGCCACCTCCGTGCCATTGACGTCCAAGCTGCCTAGATTCACTGGCCGGTATCCCCTCCTTTTGCCCCCCAGACCATATATGGCCTTAATCGCTGTTCACTCTTCCCATTGGTCCCCCCTCCCAAACCCCCCCTACCTACTTCATATATAAACCAGCACTTTTTACTTCCCAATCATTGCAGCTACAGCTATCTGTATTCGCACACAACTCAAGTGCCCTGAAGATGGAGGCGATATGTTCCTCCGAAACGTCGGTTAAAACCAGGAATACATGGCGCCAGATCCCAGAAGACAGCTTTCTTCATAGTCATCGCCCTGAAAACCTCAAAACTTACATAAAATCACGGTGTTTGTTTTGTTTTGTTTGTCATGATCAGCAACATCAGACTAATTATTACTGATTTCCTGCAGAGAGAAAATGAATATCAGTTGTGACAAGGGCTGCACAAAATCGAGGAATTGATTGAACATTTCTTATGCTAAATACAGGTTATTTGCTAAAGCAAAATTTAGTACATTTTGGAAAATGATACAATTTTTTTTATACTGAGCCTCAACTGTGACCAGAAAAAATCACTAAATCAGGTTTTATGCATATTTCATTGATCAAAGTAAGGCATGTGTGATGGATGGTGCATATAGCATGCATGGAAGAACTGAAAAGCATATGCAAAATTTTGGTCCAACATTGTGAATGAAGGAGGCTACTTGGGAAACCTAGAGTAATATTAAAGTGGACCTGAAAGAAATATAATAGTTGAGTATGGATTGAATTCATCTGGCTCATGATAGGGACCAGTGGCAAGCTCTTGTCAATGCAGTAATGAACCATTGGGCTGGGCTGTAGAAAAGGCAGGAATTTCTTGAGAAGTTGAGTGATTATTAGCTTCCCAAGAAGGACAGCTTTATTGAATTAGTAAGTGTGTGTATACAGAACATCAATTTGTTGGCATATGGTGCAGTTCTTTTAATCATGTTATCTAGTTATTTGCTACAATTATTTGTGCTTGTTTCAGGAATTGTAAAAAACCAAACCACATACCATTACGATGTGATGAAGTGGAGGAGACTGATGAAGTTAAAGTACGAACGTACATAGAGAACAGAATGACAGAGGCTTTGGTCAGGTAAGAATTTAGTTGCTTGGAAGATATACGTAGGTACACACAGTGCAACCTCAATATGAAAACAGTTTATAAAATTCAGAGAAGTGCTTGTAATATCTGAAAGTGGTTGACAGACGTAATCTTCAACTCGTCTCCAAACTCTAATTATATGAAGGCAAATCAAAAAGCCTTTACCACTGTTTTTTTTTCAGCCAAAATATTAGTGTGATTGAGTAACCGGGTTATACATTCAATGCAACAGGGTATGCTTGGACCAGGTTTCATGTCGGTGGGTGCCTAAGCTGTTGGATGATCTGAACAAGGCCAAAAGAATGGTGTCACTGCAACATTTACAGCGTTACTCCGAGGAGGGTGAAAGTTTCCTAGATCTGATTGTCACCGGAGATGAAACGTAGGTATTGCATTTCACTCCAGAATCCAAGCAGCAGAGCATGGTGTGGAAACATCCCAGTTTGCCTGCACAAAGAAATTCCACAGAACACCATCTGTTGGGAAGTTGATGGTCACAGTTTTCTGGGATTGCCGATGACCACCCCTGCTCGATTTCATGCCACGAGGTGCCACCATCAACGCGGACAGCTCTTGTGGCACACTCACAAATCTGCGAGCTGCCATCAGAAAAAAGTGCCTGGGGATTCTCGTGGATGATGTGCTTCTCCTCCATGACAATGCCAGGCCTCATCTGGCAAACAGGACTGCCGCCCAACTGCAGTCATTTGGATGGGAGATTATGGAGCATGCAGCGTATAGTCCAGACCTCGCCCCAGTAATTACCACATGTTCGGTCCACTGAAGAAGTTCCTGGCAGGTCAGAGGTTCATTTCCAATGATTATGTGAAAACCACTGTCAGGCAGTGGTTCTCCGCTCAACCGGCCAAATTCTAGAACAGCGGCATCTCCAAACTAGTGGTGCAATTGGACAAATGCGTGAACCGGGGTGGTGACTATGTGGAAAAATAGTCATAGGTACTTAGAACACTGCCCGTATTTTGATTTCCCTGTATGTATATTATTGTGGCTGAAAAAAATAGGGGAAAAGACTTTTTGATTTGCCCTCGTATATAACCTATCAGAGTATGACACACTGATCTGAAAAAAATTAATACATTATGGCACTATTTCAGTATTTTGGCATGTTCAGAATGAGAAGTTGCAGTGATGTATATGTTAGCTTTACCCTGTCTTTCCTTCTGTCTGTCTGCATGTAACAATTAAAAAAACATTGACCACACTTTCATAAAGTTCGGTACTGGGGCATTTAAGTAAAATTTGTCAACACATTCTGCTTTTGGCTGCAATCTGATAAATATAAAAGTCTTACTAATGGGATGTCTGACATCACTATACTTGGTGGACTGTGGTGGCCATTCATGGAGTTAGACAGGAGCATGATGTGATATTATGTAACTGTTGTGCTTGAGCTCAGCATGCACACTCACTAATTGCTTATTTAAAGTGTAATTATCAGTAATCTAGTATAATTCATTTATGGGTGGCTCTACAGCTCTTTGTTGGGCCCTGGCCTCTTCTTCAGTTTCTTAATCTTTTTTTTTATATACAGATGATAGGACTCTTTGGATGAGCGATCAGCCCATTGCAAGACCACTACCTACACACAGAACACAAACAGAATAATTGCACACACACACATTCATGCCGTGAGCGGGCTTCAAATCCATGATCCCAGTGTGCAAGCAAGGAAAGACAGTTCATGCCTTAGACCAGAGTTTCCCAACCTTTTTGATGCCGCGGACCCCCTGTACCGAATGTTAATTGACCACGGCCACCATAAAACCCAAAATGTAAATTTCTTATATTTTACATATCATAAAAGTTAAGCACTAACTTACAATTTTACAACACTAAATGTGTCATTTATGCCAATAAAATACTGTTATAAATGGAGCTTATTCGGAAGATCACAAACATATGAATTAGGCCTAATGTTATGAATTTAACACTCACCCAATCAACGATCCACACTTTAACCACTGATCCATATCTAAATAAGATCGTGAACAAACCGAAAATCAGAAGTTTCGTTGTGAACTCAATTATTTGAACAAGAGCAGAAAACTGAACATTAAACTGAGAAAAACACACTTGTATAATATTATAAAAATTCACTGCACAGAAACTAAAGACACACAGGTTGTTCGCTCTGCCACTGAAAAGAATAAGAAACGTGGTCAATGGTCCCAGCTTTATTCCCAACCAAAGAGGGGTGAATTTGGTGGGGAGGAGGGGTGAATGGTCAGACAGCATGTGAGCAGGACAACAGTCCACCCTGAAACACGGGTCTGAGATGCAATGGGTGGACCAAAAGAAAATATCCTTGGAAAAAGCTACACAAATCTTTGGTTATTCACCTCTGCTTTACAAAGGGAAGGTACCGTTACGGTACCAACAGTCCCGCTAAATTGTACTTCGCCCATGGGCCTCAAGAGCCAGAGATATACATTGCAAATATCCCAGGTGGGAGGAACATGATAAGATAAAGTTTAATGAAAATAAACTATCCCGCAGACCCCTTTAAAATTACTCATGGACCACAGGTTGGTAACCACTGCGTTAGACCACTGTAATCGGCAATCTTGTGTAATACAGTAGTGAAATGAAACTCAAGTGAGAAACTGAGTATGTAAAATAATTTAAAATCACCATTTATGGCATACCCTTTGAAGAAATTTCCCTGCTTAATAAGATTGATTTTTTTTTTAATTTTTTAAAAGAATTTTGGCAAATGCCCACTTCTTCACAAAAGAAAATGTTTTTGCTGTGTCTGAATGGTTGGATGGATTTAATTCATATTCAGTATTCAAAGATGTGTTCATCCCATATTGATACATGATGAATCTGAATGTTCCATCTCCAATATTTTTGGCACTTTAGATGGGTCCAAGAGCACAATATGGTGGCCTTCTTGAAAACAGCTCATAACAGTTTTTATTAAATTTCAATAACTCATGGAAACCATATCCCTCAATAAGACTGCATGGGTGGTATATTCATCAAAATAAGGATATGTGCAGGGGGGGCCCAGATGTGAAACATCAATTGTTTTGAAGCTTGCTTTACTGGTTGGCTGGATTTCATTGTTGGTTGTCATTCAGTAATGAGGAGTGCAACAGTCTATTTTGTTTCAAAGGAACATGCTAAAAAAGTTATCCCATGGAGGCCCATACGGTTGTGAGACATCGAGGCTCCCACATTTTCTAGACACTTGGTTCACAGTTGGCAGTGAGGTCAGCATTATGCACCAGCTGCCCTTTGTGCCCCAGAGCCATAATGTGACTGGAAGGATTAGATAAATTAAAAGAAAACAATGACATTGAGACTCAAACCCATAACTTTCCTGCTTGTAGCAAGATGCCTCAACCAACTACACTACTGATGTCCCCCCCAAGATAACAAAGTCAGAGTCAACTGTATATGTTCACTGTCTTTGCACTGATTTCTGCCTGCAAAGAAAAAGCCTTAAAATGATTTTACCATATCTTGATCTTCCTTATTCCCTATTTTATGAATTTCAGAACCTGTTGGAAGTGTAAGAAGAAATTCATAAAGGGAAGTGGATGTAACTCAGTTCGATGTACCTGTGGCGCCACAATGTGCTACAATTGTCGTCAGCCTGTTATTAATGATCTTCACTTCCTTTTCAAGTAAGTTGCAAAGTTTGAATTGTATCAAATTCATTTGTACTTAATTAATCATAACATATTACAGTAACCCCCCCAGTTATCCAGTGATGTAACAGCATGTAATTTGGTACCTGCTACCTCCATCTTCTGTTCTTGTCTACTCTAAAGACCACTGGAGATACCGAATCCCCCCAACACAATGAAAAGGTGGCAACCTAAGGGAAATGGTAGAATAACCACTTGCAACAATGCAATTATTCTGCATGTTATTCGATAACATTTAAACAACAAACAAGATCAGATATATTAAGATACATTACATATGCAAATACTCTTTGTTATTATGGTAGTTGCTGATGGAAAATTCTGCAAAATATTCTTTTTGATAATGTAATGATCACCTCTCCCCTCCCATCTATGTTAGTAATTTTATAATTAATAATTTATTGACTTTGAAACAGCATGTTTTCTTAGGTCAAGGACTGTATATTTCCAGGTGTCCACTTTTCACTGATGATTCTGTTGATGTGAATACTGTTAGAAAAGAAGCGATGAAAGCTAAGGAGGAAATGAAAGTCAAGAATCCAGAGTTGAAATTGAGACATGACCCAACACGAAAATTACCTGAAGCAAGAGGTTTGAATGATGGTCATCATCCCCACCACCACCAACAACAACGACAACAACCACGACAACAACCACGACAACAACCACGACAACAACCACGACGAAAACAACAACGACAACCTGTAATTTTTAGAGAACTTGCAGCTGGTGGAGTACAAATTTTGGACTGGCTAAATAGAGGAAGGGCCCGTATTCAGACGGCCTTAAGAAGAATAGCAAGTGTAGTTACTGTTCCAATTAATGGCCCTCGCATCATATCAGCCACTACCAGGAGCACGTATGCCAAACCTAAACACAGTTCCAAATCAGAACGGAGGTAGACATGTAGGGATTGGTGCAGCTACACACATACATGGAAGTGCCGTTGCAGATAAAGGCCAAGTACAAATTCTTGCTGCATGTCTTCCTGATCCACTTGATAACCTAATAGGTATGAATGGCCATAGACTTAGAGTACAGTACACACTTCCACAACCATTCCATAATTATACCATTCCTCTTGTGATGCCAGCTGCGAGACGGACAACTACCAACTGACAGACAGGTTCCATTCTCTCTAGGGCTTGACTTTCCAGTTATGGCACAACATCCACTTGCTCCATCTCCATGAATGTACTCTTTTCTGCAACCAGATACTTCATACTTCAACAATTGACATATCTCTTTCATTTCAGTGGCACAGCACATTTTTGTGCAACATCACAATCATTCTTTCATTCTACATAATTTTGTGCTGATCCTTTAAAATTTACATTTATAGTTGGCTCTGTTGTATGGCTGTAGAAGTCTCAGTGCATTGTAATGTGGCCAGAATTTTGGTCTGATGTTGATTTCTTCACAAAGGCACCTCTCTTCCCATCTTCATTTTTACATTAAACATAATTAAATCCCATGTTCAGAAGTAGAATTATAATGTAGATATGATATTATTGTCATAATTGAAATTGCCTTTGCTTGAAAATAAAAACCCAAAAGAAACTGAAATGTCATAGATAGGATAGCACGATAGTTCGTGTAAGAGTATTGAGAGCCATGCATCTGGTGACAACATGTAGGAGCTATTAAGTTAGTTTCAGAATGTTCTTTGTTCAATTTTTTTTTTTCAATTTCGATTTATTTAACATTCCACAGATCCACAGTACACATAAAGATACAGAACATGTCAAACTTGTACATAATATACAGAATAAATAAAACAAAGTAACTGAATAGAATAAAATGAAATAAAATATGTTGAATCAGATAGTTGATTCCAGTGAATTTAATACTGTTAGAATTGACTATGAAATAACAATAGAAACATTTCAACCAAGAACTAGTCAGATATCTGACTACAAGCAAATCATAACATATTACTCCTAAAATGCCATAAGTATGACAATATAAAGTTTGTTACTAGCTTCTCACTAGTCATTAATTTGTGAGGTTTTATATTGAAAATATTCCTGTGGCATCTCAACAGAAGTTGCCAGAAAGGCAATCAGGGACTGGACAAATATGAAGCACAAGAAATACTGGGGATCCTTGACTGGACTCAGGCAAGCAAAGGGACTCATATGAGGACCCTCTGCTAAAAGAACGAAGGAACTGTTAAACAGGATCCAGCTATGATGGGTGGTGGGACTGCTTACAGGACACTGTCACCTTAAAGGACACCTCTTCAAACTGGGACTAAGTGATAGTCCCACTTGTGAGAGGTGTCAAGAAGAAAATGAAATAGCCACACATATCCTGTGTGAATGTGAAGCCTTAGCTTATTTAAGATTACGTTGCTTGGGTCAATACTTTATGGAACCAAGTGACTGTTTCAACACCCCCACATACTAAATCCTACGCTTCATTTGAAGTGCAGGATTGCTGAGGGGATAATCAAAAGGGGAAGCACAATAGCCCACCGTAGGTCACGGTGCAAGGGCTGAGAAGGCCCACCCCTTATTCATTCATTCATTCATTTGAGACGTTAAAAGGTCTTGAAGACCGAAATTTGGTTTTTGGGTAGGACGTACCAACTCAAAGACACTATAACAAATATATCAAATGACAATATATATATTAAATATTAAATGCGAATACGATATAAGTCCCTGGAGGTAACAGGCCTCCGCCAATCAAACAGTCAAAATCGTACAGACCAGGAGAAGATGAATCGACTGAACAGTTCAAGCTCCCACAACAGAATGGATCACTCGCGTTGGACCTCAGCGGTCCGGAACCAGGAAATGGAACAGTGGAAGGGGGAAGGTAGTAAGGGGGGGGGATGCCCCCCTGCCGAATGATGATGTCACTGTACAATAACACACCTTTAATACCTCCGAGTAAATGGGTGTATATAGGAATACATCAAAGTATGTGTCCATGGCTCAAAATATACATCATTAATACCTCAGAGTGAACATACACATCAGAGGACATTTCTTCCTTATCTTAAACCACACATTAGTGCCTGTGCTTACCAGAATAGACAATACCAGATTTAAGTTTGTAGATGGACACAAAACAATCTAGACGCATCGCAAGCTTCCTTCTACAAACTTAACCGTACGGTTTTCACGCCACCTTTAACTGCGAGACGTGAGCCCGGATTCTGTTGTGGCCGTCACTGTCTGCCAACTGCACCGAAACTGGCGAAGTGTACTTGACCAGGGTGAAAGGTCCCCTATACTTGGGGCATAACTTAGCAGCAACCTTATCCATTCCTCTACTTTGGGGATAATTCCGGAGCCAGACCCGGTTTGCAATTGAAAACGGGGGTGGTTGGCAATGGCGATCGTAATTCCTCCGGACTGCTGCATAAGCAAACCGGAGATTTCTCCTTGCGGCCTCCCATCACTCCTGAATGGAACGTCCATTAGGATGGTCAGGAAATAAATCCTTGACAATAGCGAGTTCGGTGTAAAAGAAAAGATGAGACTGAAGGGGGGTCACCTTGTGGGATTCATGGTGAGCAGAATTAAAGGCAAACTGGAGCCATGACACGTTTACATCCCACTTTGAATGATCCTGGTGATGGTAGGCTATTTTGCGAAGATGAAGGGAAAGGTAGAAATACTACCAGGATAAGTGGACACCCCTGTGGTGGGTAGATTACCCAAGATTGAGGGATCGTATCGTTGACTGGCTGGATCCACGACAAGAAGAGGGGAAGGGGTCAAATGCTCCATGTGTGGACTGGCAGAAAATACAACAGCTGATTTGGCCGTACCTTCAGCGTTGTGCGAATTGATCGTACTTGCAGCGAGTGGTGGTACTGATGACGTATGCTCCTCGCTCTGCAAATTGCTGTTGATTTCTGCCAAAAGTGACTGCACTTGCTCACGCAATGTCAGGGTGGAAGACTCCAACTCGGGTGGTATTATTCTGAACTGGAACAGATGGCGAACAGAGTATGAAGATGGCCAAGTCTATGTAAATAACAAGGGAAATCAATGAAAACACGGGAACTGTCCGTGCTTTCCACCAACTCTTTGATTTGCAAAAATTTATCCTGACAAAAGGANGTCTACTGAACAGTTCAAGCTCCCACAACAGAATGGATCACTCGCATTGGACCTCAGCTGTCCGGAACCAGGAAGTGGAACAGTGGAAAGGGGAAGGTAGTAAAATGGGGGGCGCCCTCTGACATAATGCAGACACGGCATTACACATTCATATTGAAAATATTCTATGAAATAAAAATAATGTATATGGAGAAAATGTTTTAAACAGGTTTTAAANCTTCACTTCAACATTGCGCAAGGTCCTGAACAACGCCATCAGTGCAGCCACATTCAACCCTTCGATAGGAGCCCCTCAAACGGCGAGCTCATACTCTAGTTCGTCCCTATGCAAGTACTCAGGCNCGATTATGAGATACCTCTTTGATGTAGGGAGGAAGTTCGCATTGCACTGTGTAAGTGCTTATTTCGAAACCTGAGTGAATTAAATTTTAATATGAATAAGAGACAGGNGCAGAAAACTAGGGCAATGACCAACAGATCCCAAAAACCAAACTACGCCCTTTTACCACTTTGAAACATGGAAAGGTCTTGAAGACCAAAATTTGGTTTTTGGGTAGGACGTACCAACTCAAAGGCACTATAACAAATATATCAAATGACNGAATGAAGGGAAAACCACCGGCACACACAAGAAAAAGTCTGCATCCATTCATAAGTTCATGGACAGCTACTTAAAATTTGGTTTCATACAGTGCCCCAACACCGACCAATTGCCATGACCTCAATGTGTCATTTGTGCTACTGTTCTGGGAAATGAAGCTATGAAGCCATCGTGACTTACCCGACATCTCAACACAAGACATTCTGATCTAGTCAACAAACCCATTGAATTCTTTATGGGTAAAAGAGATGCACTTAAAGTAGAAAAGAAAATTATTTACCAAGCTTCAAGCACTGACACTTCACTTCTGACAGCATCCTATTTAATATCACCACAGATAGCTAAATGTAAAAAACCATATTCTGTTGGGGAAGAACTCATTAAGCCTTCTTTGATTGCTGCTTGTAATGAAGTATTAGGCCAGTCTGCGGCAAGTAAAATGAAAGACATTACATTTTCGAATGATACAGTTGGTAGGCGGATATCTGATATGGCAGAAGATACAGAAACGCAAATCATTGAAAAAATTAAAAAATCGAAATTGTTTGCAATACAACTGGACGAATCTACAGATATTCCGAACAGCGGCATTTTACTTACGTATGTACGATATATTGACCATGATGAGAATGACATGAAGGATGACATTTTAAGTGTTTCTGAATTACCTACGCACAGTGAAATTTTCAAAGTTTTAAATGGTTTCGTTGAAGAGAGAGGTCTCAAATGGAAAAATTGCGTTGGAGTTTGCACTGACGGTGCTGCCTGTCTTACAGGTAGAAATTCACGTTTGGTCACTAAAATTAAGGATATGGCAGGCAATAACTTAGTGTCAGCGTATTGCTACATTCATTGGTAAAACCTGGCCTCCAAAAAAAGGTACCTGAGCTTAATTAAGTCCTGTCTCAATCTGTTAAGATTATTAATTATATAAAAAGCAGTGCTTTAAACACAAGACTGTGAAAAGCATTGTGCGATGAAATAGGCTCTGATCATCAAAATCTTGTTTTCCACTCGGAAGTTTGTTGGTTGTCCTGCGGTAAAGTTCTCAAGAGGTTGTATGAACCCCGAAAGGAAGTTGAGCTCTTTCTAATTGATAAGAAAAGTAACCTCTCCCATTATTTCCAGGATACGAAATGGATAGCCAGGCTGGCATATCTCAGTGATATATTTTCTTACATGAATGAGTTGAATTTAAAACTTCAACGTCCAGATACAACAATATTTAATGCATGGAACAAGATCGAATCATTCAAAAAGAAACTCAAACTCTAGCTTAATATGATTGCAGAAGGAAACAATGAAATGTTTCAGTCATACTCAGATTATATTATGGAAGCAGATGATTTCTATTCACAGCATTCAGTTTAAGATATTATTGCAGCCCACTTGAAGATGTTATTGTCGTTTGAAAAATATTATCCCGAACATGATCCCTGGACGCAAAATATGTGGATTGTGAACCCTTTTGTTGAACACAAAGAGACAGCCCTTTCCCTGAAGAAACCCTTCAATTTATTGAATTATCATTGGACAAAGGACTGGAAAGTACTTTTAATACTACGAGTAATTCGAAATTCTGGATAAGAAGTTACGTTTGCAAGAAATTCCTAAGGTGATCGAGTTATTATTATTATTTTTTCCTCTCTTTAGAAGAAAACCAGAATAAAAGATTTTCAGATAGGAGTCTAGAAAGGAGTTAAACATTTCATTAACATTATCTGTAGAGTAAACAGTATCCCAAATTCCGTAGCTTAATTTAAGAAGAAAATCATTTATTGTATGTTCATTAATCTTTCTAATCAACATACCTTTTTGGATGGGAGGTCTTAAACTAAAAGAATAAAATGTTATAATCTGAGCATCATGGTCTGACAGCACATTAATTAGCCTTGGTAATGTCTATAGTTGTAGCAGATTTATGTTGAGTGCAGGTAGGGAAGTTGACTACACTTGTTAGGTTGTAGGTTTTAAGCAAAGCTTCTAATTGGCTTTTTCCATCAGTCAACTAGGTAATTTATATTTATGTCACCACAAACAATAAAGTCAATGGTAACCATGAAAAGTTTTTTGAGGATTGTGTCTAATTTTATGATAAAAGTATCAAAGTTGCCTGATGGTGCTCTGTACGAGGGGGTACCCAAAATAAACCAAACTTACTTTTTTTTAAACTTGTTTATTCAAATTTTAAGCACAAACCTTCAATCCCCTTCAAAGTACTCTCCACTTACACTAATACACTTGTCTAGTCTTTTATTCCATTTTTCAAAACATTGTTTAAATTCATCTTTTAAGATGCTTGACAGCGCCTCCGTAATTTTTTCCTTCACCTCAGCAACATCAGCAAAACGCTTTCCTTTCATGTCTCTTTTCATTCGAGGAAACAAAAAAAAAAGTC